TTTTTTTACACTTATTTGAGTATTTTTAGTAAAAATTAACAATATTTTGGTTCCGCACTCTTATGGCCACGGCCCACGAGTCAATTACTTAATGATGGAATTTAGTTGACTGATTCAAAATTTAATATGCCTATTATTGAAAAGGTACAATATTTTCTGGAAAAGATATGTCCAATCTTTTTAGGAGACATCTACTCATTAATTGAATAGAATCCAATCTTTGTAAAAGGACATGTCTACTCAGAAAAGGTGCAATAGTTATCTTTTTTCTCTCTATAAATCCTATAACACTAAGAAATCTTCATCATTTGAATTTCATTTTGTCATTATTCTAAGAGTCAGTTTCCTTCATTATTCTGATTCCTACAAAAGTAGTTGGGAGATTTAAGGGGTCATTTGGTAGGGTGCATAAGAATGATGCGGATATGGTATATTAGTAATGTTGGTATTACTTATGCTGACATTAGTTATGCTGATATATATGTTATCCATTGTTTGGTTTGATGTATTAAAACATTGCACAATTTCTAAAAGAATTGTTTGTTTAGAAAAATACCCTCATAATCACTCCATTACTTTATCCTTTTCAAAAACATATGTTGAGGAATATTTTTATATGAAAAAGGTTTTAAAAAAATTATTTGATTTGTCTACCTATATTGTAGTATAGAATAGTATCTATTTATAGAAAAAATAAATATACTAAGTATTTATTTATTCACTAGGGATATAATTTCATATCCAAAATTCTTGATAGTTAACTATTGTGTCCTGTTGTTGATTAAATATTCTTCTTTACCACCTCTAATTGACGAGCGCAAAGCACAACACAAAATTGATGCTTGCTAGCCAAATATAGTATAGTATGATCATCGTCTTCACAGGAATTGGATTTAAATAATGCTCTAGCAATTCCTCGTTTACCTACTATTCGGGATGATCAAAACTTGATTGGCATGATTACGAATTGGGATTAACTACTAAAGTAAAGCAATTGACAATTGACTGCAAATAACTAGGGATTAGCATATAGTTTCTTATCAATGTAAGAAATAAGGGTTTTGATATGATAGGTGCAAAGGTTGTTATTCTTGATATTATACTGATATATTTCACTCTTGAGGTTCTATCGATTTTCACGAATTCAATAGGTGATTAGCTTATACGTCCGATTCAGACTCCTCTCTCGATTAAATCTAAATCTTTCAAATAAACTAATTGTCACGTCCCTAATTTCCCCCCATAGGATATTGTGACGACATCAAGTCTCTAAGACTAGGTAAGCCTAACATACATGCGGAAATAACTGAAACGATAATTTAAAAATCTTAAAACCCAACAACTATTATAAGGAAAAACCACCATATCTCAGTGTATACACAACATCCCAAAATCAAGCGAAATACAAGTCACAAGTTCTATGACAGTATCAAAGTAATCCATATACAATTGTATCTAGTAAAGAAGGAAAAATATAGAAATGGATAGAAAGTGACTTCGAAGCCCGCGGAGCGAGTGTACCTTGAAGTCTCCAAATGTGAACTTCGCTCACTAGTGCAGATGCAGAAAAGTATTTTTTTCAATAAATTCGTGATGTAGAAAAATATTTTATTTCATTTCAACAAAACGAATACTTTCTTTTCATGATGTAAAAAAAGTATTTTTTTTTTATTTTAACAATTGGGTTATTTTTTTCATGATGTACAAAAAGTATTTTCTTTTCATTTCAACAAAACGAATACTTTCTTTTCATGATGTAAAAAAAGTATTTTTTTTTTATTTTAACAATTGGGTTATTTTTTTCATGATGTACAAAAAGTATTTTCTTTTCATTTCAACAAAACAAGTATTTTCTTTAATGATGTAGAAAAAATACTTATTGCTATAATGATGACAATAATAGTTATAAGTGTATTCCACAGAAATGAAGGTTCAATTTGACATGTACATAATAAAAAATAACCATGAGAATGAGACCCTAAGGAAACATTTATATTTGTGATATAAAATTAATTTTATACTCATATACATTATCTTTTTAACTCTTATGTCTCAACTAAACTTGCAAAATTCACTATCCTTTTTCTTGAAAGCACAATAAATATAAATGTACGACATGACAGTGAAGGTTCTAATGATATGTATGTAAAAAGAGCAACCATGAGAAAAAGAACTCTAATGAAAGGTTTATAATTGTGATATAAAATTAATTTTATAATCATATAAAAAATAATCTATTATGTCTCAAGTAAACTTGCAAAAAAAATAATCTTATGTATTCAAGGGGCGTTTGGAAATAAGAATTGTAAAATTCCCCCCAAAAAAAGATCAAGTGAAAATGATATTTGAAAATTAGAGTTGTGTTTGGGCATGAATATAATTTAGGGTTGTTTTTGAAGTTTTGTGAGTGATATGAGTAAAAATTTTAAAAAATAACTTTTTGGAGTTTTTCAATTTCAAAAAATTCCAAAATTCATCTTCAAGTGAAAATTTAAAATTTTATGACCAAACAAAAAAAGTTAAAATTTTTAATGTCCAAACGGGCTCTCGGTATTCTTTTTTTAACAGCATTACCGGTTGAAAAGTAATCATGACACATGAAAGAGTGTCTTGTATTTTAATAGGTCAAATACATATACAACTCATTTAATTTGCATCATTTTTCATTTTGACATTCTATTTCTACCTTAGTTTCATTTTGGCCATCCAACTCTATTTTATATGTTCCATTTTGGCCTTCTAACTCTATTTCTTATGTTTCACTTTAACATAAAAGCTGAAATCAGTGCAAAAAATATAGCGCGTGTGTATACAAAGATCTGAGGTGTAATAAATAAATATCCAATTAAATGTTGCCACCTAATTTTTTCATCCATGTCAAACAGATCAATACTAAAATACCCGAACTCGATCGTATTTTTTCATCCACTATTGCCCCATCTTCATTCTCTAAGTTCCAAAGCTTTCATCTACCGATTTTATATCTGGCCCGTTTGGATGAAATAAACCCACAAAAAATTTGATCGAGTTTAGATATTTTAGTATTGACCCGTTTGATATGAATGAAAAACTAGGTGACAACATTTAATTGGATATTTATTACACCTCAGATTTGTGTATATACACGCGCTATATTTTTTGTACTGGTTTCAACTTTTATGTTAAAGTGAAACATAAGAAATAGAGTTGGAATGCCAAAATGGAACACATAAAATATAATTGGAGGGTCAAATGAAACAAAATAGAGATAGAGTGCCAAAATGAAAAATAGTACCAAGTTGAATGGGCTGTATATGTATTAGGCCATTTTAGTATAAATAAAGGGGTCCAAAACCTAACCTAGGGGCCATCATCAGATTTTTGTTTAAAAAAACCCTAAAATCTAAAGCACCGTCTCATTATTACAAGGGAACAGCCGCCCCTCAAAAAATCCCTCACTCCCCTCATTTTCTCACTGTCACGCCACCAGCAGACCCACCGGCGACGCTCCTACCCCCATCTCTCTTTATCTCTCATTGTCATTGCCCAAATTACCACCTGGACTGAACCCGTTCTTTTTCCTAAAATTGAAGCTAACTCTTATCAGATCTATTATGGAGAACGCTCGTGTCAATCAGCCTAATGCTGCTCGTCAAGCAAGATTTCCACGTATTAATCAACCAGAACCTAGTGCTGCTCATCAAGCAGGATTTCCGCGTATTAATCAACCAGAACCCAATGCTGCTCGTCAAGCAAGATTTCCACGTATTAATCAACCAGGAGTAGATATTCCTCGGGGGCAAGCTCCAGTTGGTGGTAATTTGGGCAATGACAATGATAATAATGGTCCTGATGAGATTGAGCATATTGTTAATCCTCGTCGTGTTCGACGGAAGGTTCTTATGCAATGTTTCAGAGCCCGATATGACATCACTGGTACTAATCAGCCTAATTATCGGCCAGCTAGTATTGGTGCTATTCATACTCCTGTGTTTTATACACCTGATCTTGGCGGTACGGAGCGAGAGCAGCGTCAAAGGCGGACAAGAGTCTTTTTCTTCGCACATCAGGGACTTAATAATTTTGGTATTAGCGAGATGCAAGTGATTTCACATGCTTGCTCGATGCTGCTTTGTGTTACTCCCAACATGAGGGGGCACATTGAACTGGAGTTCAGGGAGCTCCAGCTGAAGCCACAGGTCAAAACTTTACCTAGCCAGGCAATTACGGCTGATCATAGTCGACTGGGAAGAGGGGCAGAATTACAGTAATTCAAAGATACTTGTCATCTATGCCTGTCTTCTATTAGCCATTTTTAAGTCACCAAATGAGAGGAATTATGAGCTATATATGGCCAAGAGGATTCGAGCAATTTCAGCTAAGGTTGGACATGATCCCGGTGAAAGGATTACAGTTCCATTCAGTCTTGAGGCTGCAAATCGTATCAAGATCAAGCTGGGTTCTTCCAGTTATCTTAAAAAGCAGATCATTTACATGCTTCTTGAGCAGCAGAGGGGGTCTGATCAATTTGCCAATATGTGGAGCTATCTAGTAATGATCCTATCTTGGAACGAGATGCATAACATCAATTTCTGCTACGAAATGTTCGTTAGGACAAGGTCTCCTGTGCTGACAGATTATAGGGTGGCTGCTGACGCTGGGCATCTCTATAATGCTTTATGCAAGATATCTAAATTTGCTTATCCTCAGTTCTTTAAATATCTTGCTCCTTTAGTGGACTTGCATGTCCTGAATAGGAGCCTATTTCCTACTCTCTTTACTGCAGCTGCTATGCTTAAGCTTGATGAACAAGGGTACAATTCAGTTCGGAACTTTCTAACTGCTGGTAATCCTAATGCCCATGAGACTGCTCTAGCTTTAGTTGAGCTTCATAAGAGTGCTATGCGTGAAAACCAACGAAATGTGGCGAATAGGGTCCAAGTTGAACAGCTATATCTTGCTGGAGCCCGACCCAGAGTATGATTTTTAGAATACCGTCCTGCTTATTAAAGTTGAGTAGTGGAATTTTAGTAATGTGTCTTGCTTTCTTAGGATTTGCTTTCAAGTTCCATCTAGGTGTTGATATTACTCGTTATTTTGTTTTTGTTTTTGTTTTTGCTGTTTTTCTTAAAGTGTCGTAAGAATTAGCCGACTTAGAAGATGGATGGTGACGCCCGTATTGCCTTGTTCACCCGGCGCTAGAAAAAAGTCTAACGCACAGCCATTGGAGATTGACGGATGCGGAGCGTGGTGGTTTGTTATGGTCCATTGCAAGGTCCACATCGATATTGCAATATGCTGATGTGGGGTTTATATAGCCTGGGGCTCTCACACCTTAATAACTAGCTTATGGGGTGTAGTTCTCCCGGGATTGTTTCAAAAACGATCTTCTCGTCATAACTCACAAATGTGTTTGACGACTTTTCATATGTTGAAAACTGAGATATCGAAGCTTGCTGCTATCACACTCATTTGGATAATACCTATTCTTATTAAATCACCAAATGAATTAACTGGAATTAAACTAGCCATACCGAGGAGTAAGTCAGTGCTCACAGCATCAAAGCGACAGTTAAGTTTTTGAAAATGCAAATCTATAACACCATAAAAAATTTCAACACGCAAATGATGATAATATGTAACATCAAGAGCTCTACGCTTAGATTTCCCAAGAAAGTAGAGAGCGCCCATCTTTAGAATCGCTATATCATGTATCAATTCCTCATCGTTTGTAATCGTTGCTTTGTAAGAGCAATGAGTCCCATAGCATTGACAATATCTTGATCCATCCTTTGTGATACACAACTCAACTCATTTGTCATTATTAGAACTTTTAACATCAAGTGCAACATTAAAACAAAATCAAATTCCTTGATCTTACCCATAAGACTTTCAGCAACAATTCTATCGGCATAGTTTGGACACTCACGGGCAGTAAATTCAAGAAAATGAATAATTGATGAAAATAGGACAATAAGGTTATCCAATGTTTTATAATGAGAACCCCAACGAGTATCACCTGGTCATTGAAGCCCACGTTCTTGATTTAATCCTTGTCCAGTATGCACTTCACCTGATTTGAGCAACTCCTTTAACTTTTTAGCTTGATGTTCTCGAAGCAAAACCCTGCGCTTAAAAGATGTTCCAACAATATTTAAGACATTAGCAACTATACAAAAAATTCATCTATATCTGAATGCTTCTTTGCAAGAGCCACAAGTGTTAATTGCAATTGGCGAGCAAAACAGTAAATGCAATATGGTGATGGAGACTCATTCATAATCAAAATCTTAACACCATTTAGCTCTTCCTGCATGTTACTAGCCCCATCATAATCTTGCCCACATATTTGCGTTGGACATAATGAGTGATCAGAAAGAAAGAAGCAGATTGCCTTTTTCAATGACATAGCCGATGTATTACTAACATGAACAATGCCAATAAATCTCTGTATTTCCTCTCCTTCCTTGTTAACACATCTCAAAACAAGTTCCATTTGCTCCTTGTGTGATATATCTTTTGATTCATCAACTAGTATCCCGAAAAATCCTCATCCAGATCTTCAATGATAGCTTTGATTGTTTCTTTAGCACATGCATCAACAATATCTTTTTGAATACTTGGAGAACACGTCATTCCATTACTTGGAGCATTTTCTAATATAATGCTTCCAACATCCCGATCAATATCTCCATACCATTGCAAAAGCTCAAGAAAGATACCTCTGTTTGTAGAAGATTGACTCTCATCATGCCCACGAAATGGCAAACCTAGTCTCAAAAGAAATCTTTCCACGTCGATTGAAGTACTCAAACGACGTCGAGAATCATTTTTTCTTTCTCGAATTGTTAAAAGAAGTGCAAATTGATTGTGATTGATTTATTAAATCAAGCATCCTGTTGAAACACTTGTTGTGGATGCTATCTACTTCTCCAACATGAGCTTTAAATCTTTCAATAGCCTTATTCCAAGCTTTAAAGCCATTTTTTGTAAAATCATCTCCCGTATTTCCATGAATTTCATGTTCTTTTTTTAATCAAATAGCAACACAAACAATATGCAACATCTTTTGATATACTGTACTCTAACCACTTGGAATGTTGAACCTTAACCAATCGGACAAAACTGACGCATTATCTCCCCAAACTTAGTTTTAGGAAAATCATGATTCACAAGCTGTCAAGGCATTTTTTTTAATATAATGTCTTCTAACTTCACCACGTACATTAGGGTTATATTCTGTAATAGGTTTTCTATCTCCTGGATCAACATTGAGAGATTCTAAATCAAGATCAGAAAGAAATGTGTCCCTCTAAATTTTCGGAGCTATAGATGAAGCATAGATGGATGAGTAGAACTAGAACTTGGTTGTCCAATATTCGTTCTTATGACAAACCTATCCATCTCAATTCAAAAAGATTGATGAAATATTCCTACATAATAAGATTCGATTTTACCTAAAATTCAATTCAAATAATTTAACTAAATCCTATTGGGAAACTCGTGTCTCTATATAACAATACAAATAATAATGCAATAACAACATATTTAACCACATTGAACCGAAAATTAATCACACTTCTTTATAACTAAGTATATCAGAATTTATTCTTTCGAAAGATAAGATTACAAAATTTTGAAGCAATAAGCCAATGAGATAAATTCATCAATCGCACAAACTGATGCAAATAACTTGCATTTATCCCAAAAACATTCAGTTTTGAAATTAAGTAAGTCAGAAATAGAGATAAATTTATTTTTCATGTTTATTTGCCACAAAATAATTACAATCAGTGGGTATATTCATAAAAAAATAATGAATCTATTTTACAAAGCATATGTGATAAGAATTATAATTTGTAAAACTCACTATCTTCGATAGAATATTATTATTTATACCCAAAATCTCTAGCATTAAAATACCAAATCTTATTACCTTGTTCCTTGTGTTTTAATTTTGAGATGGGGAGATCAAGAAAACTTGTTAATCACTGTGTATCCTGTGATTTCCTTAATGCGAAAGCTGGAGCAGCCGAGAAGGATTCTACGATTTAGCATTTTTTTCTTTGGCGTCTTTTGGAAGCCTACAAATGTTTTAAATAGTGGAGGATTTTTTTTCTCCTTTTCATCTTCTAATTAGTAAATAAGAGGAAATAGAAAAAGAAAAAAAAAGTAAAAGAAGAGGTAAGTTATAAGTCAGCATTGAAAAGGATTAGAAAATAAAGGAATCGACGCTTTATGAAAATAAGGAAACGTATTATTTTTCTGGAAAAAAGATACTGCGAGCAAGAATCGATCTACATCGGGATTCCAAGCGACTTAATTTCAACCTCCAAACCAAAGCATCCATTGGACTTTTTCATTAATGGGTGCTTGCCCATATATTATATCAGTTTTCATAAAATCTTTTGTATAGGTCAAAATCGAGGAGTATGATTTTGAAGGCCTAAAACGGGCTATAGGCCCGAGTCCGAGAGACTCGAAGTGGATGTCGTGTCCGGCTAAGGGACACCTGCCTCGAGGAAGTTAATCGAATGTTGTCACGGACCACATCGTGGGCAGCATTATCTCGAAGTGAATCAAGAAAGAGCGGGAATTTTTCAAGGGCACGTGGACCCGTGCATTAATTATAGGATCAGGGTTATATGAAGTAGTACAGTTCCATACTAGGTCGTTATACACTTGTACCAATAGAATTCTTTACCCTTATGAGCAATGTACTATATTGGGGTTTTTCTCTTCCTATATAAAGGGGACCCCAATCGCTTTGTAAAAGATGAGATCATTCATTGCAATAGAACATTCTTATTTTTTCTGTTTAACGTGCTCTTAAAATATTCTTCAGCTTTATTGTCTTTGCTTTATTATTCATACTTTATTACTCTTAGCTAACCTCGAGGTCCCTGGATAAGTCGACCTCGAGGCCCCCTACTATTCTAACAACGCTGATTCGGTTCTTTATTTCTTCTTACGTAAGCTCAACATTACTTGTATAATCACTAGTATTAAAATATATCATGTATCTTTAAAACCACAAAATATCTTTAATTGTTAAACTCATTTTTTGAGGTAAACAGTTTGGCGCCCACCGTGGGGCTAAAGATAATAATGATTATTTTAGTACTAGTTTTCCGATAACACATGTTATTCTTCACACTTTTTCTTTTCAAAGTTTCTTTGATTTCAGGTTTAATCATGTATAGTACACAAAATGCACCTGCTCACGACAGTGAGAGACTTGGAGAAAACAACAGCATAGGGCTCGGTGTACCACCCGTAAACCCTAGGGGAGTGTCGAATATGGAGCCAGTTGATATCAGCTCCCACAACACTTTAAACATGGACGCAGGCGCAGACCCTGTAAGAAATGCACACAGGGAAGCCCGGGCCGGAGGCCAAGAAGCACGAGAAAAGGAAGAAGGAGGAGTTAGCCTCCAAGTGATATTCGAGATGCTGCAAGCTCAGCAAGTCGCCATCGCTCAACTTCAAAGTCAGAACATGACTCCTAACATTGCCGAACCAGTAAACATGCAGCACGAACCAGGTCAAAAGACCTGATGAAAGCGACTCGGGGACTGACCCCATAATCATGAAAATGCTCGAGGAACTGACTAAAAGAATTGAGTCAGGAGAAAAGAAAATAGAAGATAACGATAAAAAGGTGGAAACTTACAACTCCCGGGTAGACCAGATACTCAGAGGACCTCCAGTTCTGAAGGGCCTTGATGCCAAAAAATTCATACAAAAACCTTTCCCCTCGAGTGCGGCACCAATGCCCATCCCCAAGAAATTCCGCATGCCCGATATACCAAAGTATAATGGAACAACCGACCCCAATGAACACATTACTTCATACACTTGTGGAATAAAAGGGAATGACTTGAACAACGATGAAATCGAGTCGGTATTATTAATGAAGTTTGTGGAAACGCTGTCAAAAGGAGCTATGATTTGGTACCATAACTTAGCTCCTAACTCCATAGACTCATTTGCTATGTTGGCGGATGCCTTCGTAAAGGCACACGTCGGGGCCATAAAGGTGGCCACGAGAAAATCGGACATCTTCAAGATAAAACAAAGAGACGACGAGATGCTGAGGGAGTTCGTGTCCCGATTTCAGATGGAAAGGATGGAATTATCCCCGGCCTCCGATGATTGGGCAGTTCAGGCCTTCTTGCAAGGTTTGAATGAGAGAAGTTCGATAGCATCTCGATAGCTAAAACTAAACTTGATCGAGTATCCAGGTATGACATGGTCGGATGTGCACTCTTGGTATCAGTCAAAAATTAGGGTCGAGGACGACCAGTTGGGAGCCCCCTCGGGCTCAGTTTACCCGAATGGATTCGCAATCAAACCCTCGAGGGACATAGACTGTGGGTTAAGATTCAACAAAGAACGGTATCAACCATACGATCGAAGAAACAATGGCCCAAGACACAACACTTCTCGAAGTTATCGAAGAAGTGACCAAGGTCCAGGTTCTCGGGGGCTCA